TGAATATACTTTGCTTCTGTGGAAAAAGTTAATATAAACTCCAGATGTGATTTCCTTCTCTGCAGAGGTAAATTTAAACCTAGTGATTCCTTACAGGCTTTGAATCAGCCATTCTTCTTTTCTTTTCCTTAATACCTAACTGATGAATTACAGAAGTAATTCAAACTTTGTTTTCCAATTCTTTTCTGCTGGCAGCTGGATGTTCTTTCACTGTGGTGCATATTAAATCACAGCTCGCTGAGGGTCCTCTAAACAGGAGTGCAAAGGTCTCACGTTGTAATGTTCCTCAGGATTTACACCTTTGGGCTGAGAATATGCTGGTTGCATATGAAACCATTGAGAACTGTTGACCTAAGAAGCCTTAGGAAATTTTGATTTTTTTGTTTTAAAAAAAATTCTCACCACCCCTGACTATTGCTTAGAAAGTCATTACTCTATTGCTGCTTTTTATGCCATTTGCACAACCTTTCAGAATAATTTGCTTTAGAAAATTGTACAGTGAGTCTTGACAAAGTCAGATTGAAGGCTCAAATAACAAAGTGTGCGTTTGCAATGTTCCTACAGCTAATGAAATATAATTTAACAAGTCAGTTCGATAATTTACCTCTCAATTCCAGCGTAAAGTTTCATTCAATGACTGTCAAATTTAAGATACCCCAAGCCTCACAGATGAAGCAAAGACCATGTTTGTAGCCCATTTACACTGGGAACCAGACTGTCAATGTGGAGCCCTGCCAGTTTGAGACAGATGAGAATCTGGCTCCCTACCGAGAGCATGAGATCTCAGTGTTTTTGGCATCTAGTTTTTGACCCTGACATCCAATCCAGTAACCACAACTGTGACTGAACTGCTAGCAACCAGCAGTTTTTTTTCTTTTTATTTTTTGTTCCACAGTAAAAACGTGTCAAGAATAGATAGTGAGGTTCACATGCTGTTGCTAGTGTGTTCAGGGAATCTGGGTAGCCCCTCACACCACTCTAGCAGAGGGTGAGATAGCAAATGCAATCATATCAAAACCCCCCTAGGATAGTAGCACATGGGGCTTTGATGCTTTGGGAAGGGGCAAAGGACGATGAGGAAGCAAAACTGGCCAAAGCAAGGATGCTTATTTTTTGGACAACCAGCACAACTGCAATGCCCTTGGCCTGAGCAGGTGATTACATCCCAGCTGAGATCACCATCAGCTGTTTCAGTGTGGGGCCACACACTAGCCCTTTCACAGGGAGAACTAGTCACATCACTTACTGGTTCAACTAAGTATTGCAGGAACTTAGATGGTAATTATCATTCTATCATCAGTACATTGCTTCAGTGGTGATGGATGATTGGATGGATGGATTTACCTTCCATGAACTTTTTACTTGAGAAACAATTCTCTCTCCATTGTGGGCAAAGTGTAATTAAACAAGATTCTCAGAGGATGAGTCAGCTAAATCTATTCCTTTCTCCGGGTTCCTGCTTTTTCTTCATCTTTCATGTCTAATATTAATTTGATTCTTTCAGAGACAGCCATTTTAACTGATTAAGTAGACCCTAAAAGTTGATGATGTGTTGCCAACATTTTTAACAAGATGTTCCTTCAAAAAATCATCCATCAGCTTCCTGCTCTTCTCAGAGGAGTGGGGAAAAAGGAACTTGTCAATTCTACATCCTTCACTTTGCTCTCAAAAGTTCCTTCATTTCTCCTTGCTGCACATCTGGTTTAGTGCTTCGTAGCTTGCATTGATTTTTTTGTGTGCCTTCTCATAAGAGTAGTTCATGTTTCCAGAAGTGATGCTCGAATAAACATATCCTGTCCCTTCTGTGGGAAGGTGGTTAGGGGACCTTTTCTAAAGAAGGCTTCATGAGCAGAGCTTCCACTGCATTGCTGGGGCTGCCTTTGAAAGCAGTGGGTATTGAGCCTTTCCCTGGCTGAGCAGAAGTGTCTCAGTCCTAAGCTTGGACACAAGCTGTTAAAAGGTGTGCTAGGGTCCAGGTCTGGATGGGAATTCCTGTCAGGTGACTTTATACTCCAAAGCCTTTTCCCTTAGTAAGTGATTTCTATTCACTGTTACAGTGCCATGAAAAGGCCTGAAGTTTTTAGAAATAGTGAGAACTGCAGAAAACTTCATTAGTAGACTGGGAGGCAACCCTGTGAAGCTTAGAAAAATCAGAGAACTGCATCTAGGAGGGAATAAGCAAAAGCTGGGGACGGCTGCCTCAGTAACAGCTTTGCAGGAAAGTCCTTTTGGTGGACAAACTGAATGTAAGTCAGCAGTGAAGGGCAACCACAGAATCATAGATCATAGAATCATTTAGGTTTGAAAAGACCTTTAAGACCTTTAAGTCCAATCATAAATATAACACTGTCAAGTTCACCACTAAACCATGTCCATGATGATTAAAAAGAGCACAGACAGGCATGTCAAGACAAGTGCCCCCTAATCAGCAATAGACAGGCTGTATCCAGAGTCCTGGGCCTCGTTTTGAGTCCTGCTCCCATAGAAAAAAGATTTTCCATTTTAGAATGAGGGTTATCAAAATAAGAAGGAGGCTGAAGGGTGGAATGACAGTCCAAGAGAAGTGGGAAGTGTGGCTTTATATATCCTCAAGAAGAAAATTGTTAAAGGGGAATCTTACAAATGGTTTATAAGTAAGGTGGCTCGGAGTCATCTTGAAAGTGGCAGCAAGGGGATTTCCTGCTAGGTGTAAATAACGAAATTTCACAGTAAGGATGATCAAATATTAGGACAGGTTGTTGTCCTAGTTAGAACAGCTGGGCCCAGTTCATCACTGTATGGGTGTAGCCCAAAACTGTGTATTCTATAGTCTTCCATGCCATTTCCCAGAAACTGTTATCAATGAACCATTTACACCATCTGCACATAGAGCCAGACTCCTCAGGCTATAAACTAGGCGCTAAGAGGCCTGTGAGATAGGAGGGTGCTCTTGTCCTCACAACCCATTAAGGAACCCCCCCCTGCCCTGAGGGAGGCACTGAGCATTCCTGCCTGAACTGGAGGATATATAATCTTGGAGTCTTGGGACCTTTTGAACCACTCGGGGGATCCAGAGGAAGACTGCAGCTCACTGCTCTCAACCAGACTGCAGCTCACTGCTCTCGACTGGACTGCAATCACCACTTTTCAACCAGACTGCAACCATCACTCTCGACCGGACTGCAATCACCACTCTTGACCAGACCGCAATAGCACTCTCACCAACAGGTTTTCCCCTCTCCTTTTCCTTTGGACTCAGGGGACCCAAAGAACACCACTCTATTCATGCCCCAGGGTGCTGGGTTATGTATTTGGGTTTTGTGGGTTAAAACCAATTGTTTGTCTGTATAATCATACTTATTGTATTATTTTATTAAATTGTTATTCTGATTTATAATCTCTCTTTTGAGTTGAGTTCATTTCCCCTGCTGGTTTACCTTTAAACCAGCGCAGTTGTGCAGAGAGTATGCAGACTTTTCATACTTTAAGTTATGCAGAATTTGACAGAATAAACACTTGAGCAACCTGATCTATCTTTGAAGTTAACCCCACCTTCAGCAAGGAGATAGGACTTGATGACTTTGAGGTCACTTCCAGTCCGAATTATTCAGTGATTCAAGTAAAATCCTATGCTTTATGAACTCTTTGATTTTTAGCAGGAATGACTGCCAGTCTGGTCTTTCTCATAAAAACTGTTTTCCAACCCATAACTATTCCTGATTTGAAACACTTCAGCTAACGCTTTTATCCAAAAGGAGTGTGTGCTTCACTTGGAATGGAAGAGAAGGGATTTGTTTTTTACCAAGCCAAAATTATCTTAACCTTGTTTTCAGGAATGAAAGGATTATATATTGTTTTACCTGTATTAAAATATTTTTACAGTCCTTTGTCAAAAATTCTATTAATCTCATGCTTTCTGGCAAACCCTATTAGTCTGGCATGCTGCATGGCTTTTTGACAAGGCCATACTGAGTGAAGTACTGCATAAAAAGTTTGTGTTTAGTGAGGATTTGAACAAGTTGGTAAGACTAGGTCTGGACGGAAGGGAAGTCTCAGAGTAGAGAGTGTGATGTGGATCAGAAAGGGAGGAAAAAGAAGGGAGCGGGAAAGAAACAAGTCAGAGGAAGGGACTGGAAGGAAAGAAACAAGTCAGAGGAAGGGACTGGAAGGAAAGAAACAAGTCAGAGGAAGGAACTGGAGCAAAAATCTTGCTTTTTTCCTGGCAAGACTCATTTAGTGGTATACTCAGAAACCAGTCAGCCTGCTTTTTACATTTTGCAGAAGGCCTGTGATAAATAGGACGAGGCAATGCAGGTGATGCAGTAGCTGACTTGACTTGATTGACCATTCAGTTCCATCCGTTAGCCCAGAGTTCCCTAGTGATGGTATGTCACTTATCTGAATTTTCCCTTTTCTGAGGTCTGAGCTGTAATTTGAGAATCACAGTAGAAAAAAAAAAAATGAGATGTAGTTGAAAAATATTGAGATTGTGCTAGAAGATACCAAGTGGTGTTAGCACGCTTCCCTGGGTGGCACAAGTCAGGCATCCCAATCTGATGGATGCTTTTGACACTAATGTGTGTGGCTCAGTCTCCTGTGTAAAAAATGTGGCTGGAAAGATGGCGATTTATCGGTATTGATGGCTATTCTTGCAGTGCTCATTTATCAGTGTTAAGTACCACCGGAAAGGAAGCGAGGAAATTGATAATTCTGTCTTCATAACTCAATTCCTTAAATATTCTTCACCTTTTCCACTGGATAAGGCAGCAATTCCTTTCTGGTCAAAAAAAAAAAAAGAGAAAGAAGGAGGTTGGACATAGTACATCAGTAGAAGGCAACTTAATTCTGGCATTTCTGAAGTACTGACCAGTGTAATGCTAATGTATTCTGGTGGGTAATTTTACCCATAAAATTACGTTCCTATTTTTTGGTCAGTTTTCTGTTGTAAGTGTTGGCTTTAACGACATGTTCCTCTGAAGCTTCTCGGTCTGTTTGCATCCTCAGCATTGCTGATGTAAAAGGAGAAGTCCAGCTTGTCCTGTCTAGATCACTCAGAGAGAAGGTAAAATCATCTTTCAGGTTTTAAGTGGACCTTTCTGCTGCATGAGCTTCCACCATCTCTTTAACGTCACTGATAGCAAATATATATTTCTTCTGAATTTTGGCTCCTGCTTGTGATACGTTGGAGCCTTTATTTTTAGAGTTGCTATCTTTTCTCCCGCTGCCATATCTGTCTGCTGAGTGTTGCACTCCTGCCAAGTTACACTTGCTCTAGACACAACATAAACATAATTACATGTAAAAAATGTGAAGTTGCTTGGATTCACTGTGAAAAGGGGGTTTAGTTTCAAAATAATTTCACTTTAGTCCTGTTTCTGGTCTTAATCCTGGCTATCTAAAGCAAGGGTTACTTGCTGTTGATGTGTACAGGGTATAATGTGCTTTAGCTCTTTTCACTGTATGGAGATCTGAGATGCTACAGGAGAAGAACTTTTAGTATGACTTAGGTGTATTAATGGAAAAAATTTTCTCATTTTCATATTGACATCTGAAAGGGATCACTACAACAGTGAAATAAATGGGGCATGGGGGAAAAAAAAAAGGAAATATAGGAGAAAAAGGTTTTATCTTTCTTTAAAAAAGGTGGCCCAAATAATAGATGGTACTAAGGACAGAAAAGATTTTATTCGGTGTCCCTGAGGTCTGTCTTCATCCCAAATCCATTAGTTCTCCAATTATTAAGACTATCGTACAAACCACGAGGAAAATTTGGGCGTGTTTTGAGAAAGTAAAATATTTGTGCTTGAAGACACATTACTTTGATTCTAAGAAAATAAAAAAAGGAAAAAAAATAAGAGCAAACAACTTTGTGTGACTCCCCTTAGTTCAGAAAATGCCTGTTTTCAGTTAGCTCTGAAGAGTAAAACTTTGAACTTGAATAACATGTGTTACTTGAACATTGCTTTGATGACTGATTTTTTTTTTTATTAAACTTGTGGAAAAGTCAAGGAAACAGAACTTAATGGGTAATTTGGATGAGTTCTATTATCTGATCCAGTGGTGTTGCAGAGGGATATAGCTGCACATCACAGCTACCGTGGTAACAGACCCATTGAAAGCAAATTTTTGTTAAGATCTGGTGTAGATGTTATGCAAACACATATACAGTTGATTTAAAAATTAAAAAAAGGTAAAAATTCATTGAGAGACACAGAAACTGTTGAATATAATTAGAATGTTAATTTTATTCCTGCTTCTCTTCAGTGTAATGTAGAACTGTCTGATATCTGGTGGGACTAAAAAGGGTTTGACTCTCCCTCAACTAGATAGTGTTCTGCAGTTGGGAAATAAAAGTGGTACCACAAGCAATGATGAAGGGAAGGAATTGCATTAATTAATTGCAAAGCACGGCACAGGTGAGCCCTAGTCCAGAGGACTAGGCTCCTGGGGAGGCAGGCAGCTGCACAGTTCATGGGTGATGTTCTTCTCTAGAATTCATTCTAGAATTCATTCTAGAATAAAACAAGGTCTAGAGAAGAGGTCCCAAACTACTCTGGTCCTGAGTGAGGAACCCAAGAAAATGTTATGCTGCCCTTGACCTCATGTAGAGTAGTGTCTTTCAGTGATTTAAAACAACAACAACAACAAAGGCTTATGTGGCCATTTATGTGAATCTGTGAATAACTTGCAGACTCATTTGTGAAGCTCCTGGCAGAGCAGCCTGGGAGCTGTGGGGACTGTGCCCCCCTTTCTCTTTCTCTTCCCTGAGAGGCTAGTGGCAGCTCTTCCCTTGGCTGCGCTCAGCCTGACACCCTGCAGAAAGGGTGCTCTGTGTGCCTTCTCTCTGTGGCAGGGGATAAAAATTAAGCTTGGGAAAGCGGGATACTTCAGACCATGCATTTTGAAAGTTCTCCTCTGCAAGAAAGGATTGGTGTTGCAGGATTGGTGAAAACCTGACTCTTCTGTGTCTGCTCACTGCATGCCAAGATAAGATATAGTGAAGTGGCACAGCCTATTTAAAAATATTTTTCATAGTTAGAGAAAAACACAGGTATGAAAGAAGGAAAGACAGGGCTGTCTTCTGGCCTGGTTGTGCTCTTGTAGCACCCATTTAAATTTCCATTTATATTTTCGTAATACACTCATCTCCTTTTTGCCTCAGAGCTATTTTAATTGAATTTACTTGTTCTGCCTGCCATTTAACTGTGAGCTGCTCCGACTAAAACCAGTTTCAATGCAATAAAAACCCAAGATGTTTCACTAAATTTCCGGTATTAAAAGCAGCTGACCTTCATGTGCTGCAGGGGGAATGGGGAGGTCTAGTGGATCTAATGCTGAGAGACTCACAAAAAATCAACTGTGCACATAACTTGGATGAGAAATTATTGTAATTGCACTAACTACCCGTATTATGTGCAAGCGTGTGTGTGTAATTTTCAAATATTGTCTTCATTTGAATTAAATTATCAAATGGGCTGTAATATTAGGCTAGAATACTTTTGGGATGAGTATGTATTTTGTAATAGTTAGTTCATTACTAGGCATAATGTAGCTGTTTCTCTTGAATGTACTTTTTTCCATTTATTTGTAAGAAAGAAAAAAAAGGTATTTTTAAAAATTCTCCAATTAATATAGCATTACTACTGGGTAAAACACAAATAAAGGGATAGAGTCAGATTTTAGTTCTCCACAGTACATGTGTATACAGCGGTACAGCTGTTAAAATTGTCTGTGTCTAATTTGTAAAACAGAGCAGTCAGACAATGCACTGTTTCTCTTCGACACTGTATTTCTGTTGGATTTGTTGGGCTTGACCACCAGGAATATCAGACCACACAGGACAGGGACATCCTTGCATCATTAAACTGATGAGTTTTCCCATCCTTTTCTATGGTCGAGGACTTCACTCACTGAACTGCTAAGATCAGACCTCTCTGCAGGAGGAGTATCACCTTTGCTTCTGCAAAGCTACTGTGGAAAGTTGTATAGATATAATTGATTTTACTTTTTTTTCCACCTCTGCTGTACTTCCTGGGATAGTCTGTTTAAGGCTCTTGTTGAGCGAGTGATAAGATTTTCAGAGGTTTAGAAAGTCTCTGTTGTTTCTCAGTGCTTTGGTTGGAAAAGAATGTGTTGAGATAAGGCCTTTCAGTACCACCAATGGGTAACCTGTGTGCAAACAGACAGAGAGGCTGCTTATTTGTGTGTTTTATAATGCTGCTTTAATTCTTAGTCTTATAAGCAACACAACTGTTCAGGCAGAGAAGCGGTCTTGTGAAATCCGATATAATTATCAGCTGCTGCCAGAGAGCAGAATATGCATTAGAAAATCATATGGAGGAGGCAGGGCTGCTTCTGCCTGCTCCCTCCTTTCCTCTTGCCAACGTGCTGAGAATCAGTGCAGGTTTCAAATCGGATTTGAAACCTGTTCGTTTAACCTAAAACTGCCAGATCCACCACTAAAACATGTCCATAAACGACATATCTACGTGTTTTTTGAATACTTCTGTGGACGGTGATCTCATAACTTCCCTGGGCAGCCTGTTCCAATGCTTATCAACCTTTCCAGTGAAGAAATTTTTCCTAATATCCCACTATTACTTATAATAACTTGAGGATAGCACCTCCTAAAATCACTTAGTAGAAAACATAATACATATTAAAGTAGATGGATGCATTCCCAGTGTAATAATGAACACTTGGACAAAATGCCTTGATTGTTTTTCTAATTCTCATGCACCTGATTAGTTTGATTTTCTTTTATGCTAAAAAGTAGACTTTATCATAGTACAATGAAGACTACAAAAAGTAAAGGAAATTGTAGTCTACAGAGGTGTAAGAACCCTGGATAAGAACAGGTCCAAATACTGGCTGTCTTCTGGGGAGTCTGAGTTATACAGTGCTATTATTAACTAAAATTTTTTTCAAACTTATTTTTGTTGTGATTTAAAAATGTCACATGTCTCAGCATGATTCATACCACCTCTCCTTTCTATGTTTGTTTTCTCATTCCAGTAGCAGACTGTTACAACACTCAGCTTCCCTTCCACAAGTTAAATTACTGCTCTTTGGAACCATAAGGCTTAAGCAAAATGGAGATGTACAGATGTGGGTGGGAGGAAGAAGGGGGAATTGAAACTCTCAAAAAGACTTGGTATTTTTTATTTCCCTAAATATATGTATATAAAGAGAACCTGGTATAGAAACAAGTATAAGAACATCAGAAATTTGAGAGAGAGAATATACAATACAGTTGAAAATTATATAACTGCTACATTGCAATGCTTTCAAAATGCTTTCTCTGGTAAGAATTTCAGCTGGTTTTAGTCTGGAAGTATTTGCAGCTCATCTATTCCACAGAACTTATATTTTTCAAGACGGATTCACTATTGGTCCTTCATAATGAACCAGGTTGATAACATCCCAGTACTTAAAATATAGTCTTCCAGCGATGTGATCCTGGTATCCTCTGGAGTCATGCTCTGGCATGTATTTGCTCAGGACACTGGCTGTGTTCTTCGTCTGTCCAGCCCCCTTGCTCTTGAACGTGGCAGTTGCAGAGCTGAGTTCCCACTACAAGTCTCAGCTTGTTGGCCCAGAAGATGGAGATGTTCCCTGGGCTTGTCCAGGTTCAATGTTGGCTGCGTGGTTACAAGTAGCTGTTGTTTCTCTCTCATGCTCCACTTCCAGTGTGTCATCTCTGTGCACACAGTGTACAGTTGTTCCACGTATGTAAAGCTCTGGCTTATTTGGGAATGCCTAAGTATAGCTATCACTACTTTCTGTGGGCTAAGGAAATTGAGCCAAAATGTTCCTTAGATTTAACTTAGTTGACACTTGGCAAACAACTGCGGTAGATGTTTTAAAAGTGTTCTTTAGTTTTCATCACTTTATTCTTTTGTAAATAAGTAAAAATAACTGAAATTTTCCTTACACAATGCAAGTATTTTATAGGTTTCAGGTACTAAAAGAGGTAATAAGAAGTGGCTAAAAGCAGTTGCTGTACTCTTGGTACAGAAACTGAGGGTATTAAGGACTTAAAAGATAAGAAAGTAAGATGTA